CGCAACAAAATCTGAGAGTAAAATCGTATAATTTTGGAAAATTTACACGATTGCATTGCATCGGTGTTTAATTTAATAACATTCTAGTTAGATTTTCATAGATTTTGACAAAGTTCCTGTAGACTACACTACATAAAAAAGACTAAATAATTATGTAAAAAAATTTTTCAAAGCGTTTTTGCATCTGCGTGCTTCTATTTCGGCGCTATTGTGCCACCCTGTATTGCGTTCCATAAATTGGTGATCTTTAGTCTAACAGAGTATGTGACCTCAAAGTTTTCCTATACTTAAACTATGCTCCCATATTTTTCATTTCGTTTTGTTTTAGCAGTGTTCTGTAGCTTTTCGAAAACTTCAATTACAAGTTTAAGAGCTTAAAGACAATATAATCAAACGTAAACACAATCCTATTTCGAAGCTAAAATGCTCTTTTTAACTAGATTTTCTTCGCAAATTAAAAATAAACACAAACCACTTCCGAAATAATGGCTTTTACTCACGCAAATTCACAATTCATTTTTTCTTCTTCTTCTTTATAACTGACGTTTATTTCATTTATTATGATGGAAAATAAACGAGAAATGAGTTGAAATTGTTATTACTTCCTAAAAGAAATTTCGTTTTTACTGAGGTAACTTCTTTTAAAAAATTGTCTCGAATGTTAGAATTGGGCGTTTAGACCACTGTAGGAATATCGTTATTTGGTTCTAATTTTTATTACTTGCACACTATTTTTTTGAAGCTTTCCCAAATACCCAGTCTTTCATTTTGAAATCCAGCTGCAGATAGTTTTGACGCAAATAAATTAAATATGGTGTTAAATATGCATTATTGTAATAATTTGTCTACGGTATGAACTCCCCCGCCACAAAGTCTGAGGCCTTCCGCTGCTATGGAAACAAGAATAGCTCATTTCATAGCTTAGGCCTAAAACCGGAGAAAAAGATTCCCTTTCTCTCACCGACCCGAGCTAAAACGTGTCCGTAACCCCTTGATATACGAAGACGTCTGGGAGACGTCATTTGTTTCTTATGTCAAAACAATTGACGTGCCTCAGACGTCTTCAACACAGAGATGCCAACTTGCTCCGGACAGCAAATAAATATTTTAAAGTGGTAATTTATCAATTGTGATTCTTGGTTTAATAAATTCAATTGAGTAAATTTTTATCCACCACTATTTCTACATAATTCGTAGGCTTATATAATTCACTAAAGCATGACATAAATTCATAGTATTTATGTCATGCTATACTTTTTAAAAAGCAAGCAAAAATAGACAAATATTTGCAAAATTTAGTTTGTAGTTATTTACCGTTTTTTTTTTTTTTAATAATTATTTTGGCGTGTCCGGAGCAGTTGGCATCTCTGTCAACACTCCGTTGATAGTTATTGTTTACAGTGCAATCAAAGATCATTTCTATATCAAGAAATGATACGTCAAGGGGTTAATAGTGACCACACACCTCTTCTTGAAATAGTCATACCTCGTTACCATAGTCATTGCCACGGGTCCAGACGAATGGCTAGGGGAGTTCTTACTTTAGACAAACTATATGTATGCGCAAAGGAGATGATAAAAACAGAGATTTGATCAAATCCCTAAGGTAGATAGATGATCACGAAAGATGTTAAAATAATTTTGTGGCATGATTTCCCTAAAGAAAATGATTTTTTTTTTCAAATCCCTTACCTATATTTTAGTGAAAAGATTGAAGAAACAACTCAGGACTCGCTCATTTCACTTCCCTTAACTTTATCACTCTCCTCCGATTACTGAAAATATTATTGTATGAAAAACGATATTGATAATCATCGCTGCTATCATTTTTAATAATCGGATTAATTAATAATCGGATTCCCGGTTTATCCTACACTTTAATTTTATTGAGGTTAAAATCCACTATCCAGTAAACAATCGGCCGGTATTCCTTACACTGATGTTTTTTTAAGGTTAAATTCCACTGCTCGGTCTATTCTTCACTGATATTTTTCTAGGTTTAAGTGAAACTGCCCTCTATACATTCATACATAATTTAATCGACTTACTTGGTTATAATTAATAATAACCGGCGATTATGAATATTAACAGATTAATTACATTTGTAAGGACGCAAGAGGATGAGAAGAAACATCATCACACTTATTATTAAAACATACCATATTTATTTATAACATATAAAACATATAATTTTTTACATTTGGTGGCATTAAATTTTATACAACATTTGGAAAGATACAAGAGGATGGAGGGTAACACCATCACACTTGGAAGTCAGAAAAGAAACTCTATTGTTATTGTTTTTTCCCTTATGGCTGGGGGGATAGCGCCATCTGGTGTGCTACGAAATATCCGTTACACATTGACATTTAAACAATATTATTTCTTCTTTTCACTCAAACAGTTAAAGAGATTTGATCAAATCACATACATTCTTTAGGGAAATCGCCCCCACAGAGTTGTTATTTTAACATCTCGCGTGAACTGATCATGAGGCTTAGATCATCCCCATGCGACATACTTACTTTATTTATTGCTAATTAGCAATGTATTTATTATACATCGATCTATTATATTGGGTACATGTTTTACGGGATGCAAGATACAGTACTGGCTAAATTACTATAATAATTTCTTAGTTTGTTTTTCCTAAGCATTTTGCAATATTAGGATTTTAAAAAAAATGCAAGAATTTATCTATAGCAGACTGGATTAAGGATTTGATTGAACATGGCTCTGAATCAATATATTTTTATATGCACAGTTTTTATATTGTTTCCAAAAATTTAGAGCAAATTTATTCTCTTTTTTATTTACTTTCATTTTCTCGAACAGAATTAAGTTTACCAAGCTTCTTTAATTACATTACAGGCGCTACTGGTGTGCTAATACCGTGTCTAATACGTGTTATATATTACCAACATTCTGTTTTAAGTAAAAAATACTAACTAAAGTCCTCTGAACACGTACATGAATCCTTAAGAAATAATTAATGAATTCCAATTGTATTCTTTTCTGATAAACTTGTATAAAAATATCCATATCTTTCTTTATACTGGGCGCGTAGCGTTTTTAAAAAGTGCTTAAAGGTGCTTGTTTTCGATTTTCGTTTTTTAAAAGCCCTTAAAGGTGCTTTTTTTATTGGGTGTTTTTAAAAAGTGCTTAATTTTCCTTTTTTTTCAAAATGAGATTTTTCCTTCACTATGTTGATTTCCGCTTCGAATTATGCAAAAAGACAGTTCACATTGTTCTATTCAACTTTTCATGATTAATTCAGCCCCAATCTATTTTGGCGTATTCTCAGTCCGTAGCGTATGAAAATGCCATTCGTTTTACAGGATTCAAAATTTCATGATTTTTGACACAAGATGTTGCGTGAATCTTCCTTGATTTTCGGCCCTTTTTTTCTCACGACTAATTTCTAACCCCATTTATAATTAATTATAATAATTCCTAATATTTATTATTATAATGAATATTACATTTTCAATTGCATGTTTAAGGAATCACCTCTGAATTCTCAACATCTAATCTGCCTTTCGATAGAAAAATCAACTTTAGCGACAAAAAATTCAAAATTGAGATTTTTAACCATTTGACATTTTGGTATGAGAAATTACTGAGAAACAAAAATTTCCCTCAGAAATCAATCTTTTAAAATCTGTTTTCTGAAATTTTATTTTTTAGTGTTGATTTATTGTGTTTGCTGTTTGTAATGCTGCTTACCAAATACCAGCAAACCTGTTTGTCGAAACCAAGCGAATTTAATGCTGATGGTGCGTTTCTTGCTTTTCCGTGGTGCCATCTATGGCCAAAAATACTACTTCAGCCATGAACACATCACAGCCCGTTTATAGGGTGGACCCATTCTCACATCCGTTCATTAATTCACAGAGCGTAATTTTGACCTGAACTGGAGAACGATCCATCTCCATTTCCGTACCCCCAGAGGCATTGATTTGTTATGAGAACAAGAAGGAATTTGTGACCCGACATATTTAACGTGCACTCATCACCATTTACTGCACGGAAATTTTTCGACCGGTGGGAATCGAACTCACGACCTCTTGGTCATGAGCCCAACCAACCATGCTATCACAACCACTAGCGTTGATAGTATTAAGAAAGAAAAGAAAATAGTTGTTTTTCTCGAAATCAATCATGAAGATGTTCCGTTGTCTTTTCAATTGCATGACATTTATCACATCAAAGAAATAATGTTGCTGTAATAATGTTTTAGTTATGAATGCTTCTTCAAAGCAAGTTTCTAAGGCCGGGATAGCCAGGTCGGTAGGGCGCTGGGCCCATATCCGAGAGTTCGTGGGTTCGAACCCCGCCGGCCGAAGACTCCACATGTAGTAAAGTGACTGATGCACGTTAAATCTGTCGAGTCGCAAAAGTCCTCCATGTTCCCATAACAAATCAATGCCTCTGGGGGTACTGGATTGGAGATCGATCGTTCTCTGATGCGTGTTAAAATTACGATCTGTGGATGAATGAATGGATGTATAAATGGGTCCGCCCTTTAAACGGTCGCGACGTATGGTGTGGCAGAAGTCGAATTCTTGGCTATAGATGGCGCCACTGAAAAACAAGAAACGCACACTCTGCCATAAATTTGCTCGATTTCACTAAGCAGGCTTGCCCGTGTGGCAAGTGACATTAGAAACAACAACAACAACAAGTTTGTTTCGAATTATGTTTTCTGGTGCTAAACCGTTTCGCCGGCGATAAAGTTGCTTATGAAAAGTTTATTTTTTTATTTTTTGATGATGTCTATTTAAAAAAAAACTAAAGAAATTAAAAAAATGAAGAAATAAAAAAAAGACTAAGGAAATAAAAAATACTAAAAAACTAAAGGAATGAAAAATATTAAAAAACTAAAGAAATAAAAAAAAAAATAAGGAATTTAATTGCGACGGCGAAATAGAAAAGTACCCGTTTTTTTAAATAATTTCTTGTACGAATAAGAAAAATGTCTAAAATGTTGTTATTTTCAGATGCTTTATTGCGACGCCATTCCGTGGATCCGGATAAGAGGAGGAGACCGTTCAGCACATACAGATCATTAGAAGCCCACCAAGCAGAGAATTTTTCATGCCACACCGATGAAGATACGGTAATCTAATTTGCTTTTATAAAATTCTATCAATTCAATCCATAAGTCAAAAAATTAACCATTCCTACAGTATTTAATACCCAATTTTAACTTCGTCTATAGACCGATAACCGCCAGGATTCAATTAAATTCAGTGATAGCTAAACATATGGAGCTTCTGAGCTACCGTACCATTTTTAATCCTTCTATGAGCTACAAACTTGAAAAAAAAAAATTCTTGCATTTGGTTTCTTGCTAATAAACCAAACATTTCTAGTAAATATGAAATCAATTTAACGTGATCAATGATTTGGCGATCGCCGAGGTTGATAATAAATCCACAAGGCTTTGCAGGTACCTCGAATCCCGTTTATACCACTTGCTTTGAATGGGTATGAACAGCAAATTGCGGAGATGATGATTTCAGTGTTTTACCCGCTGTTCCACCATGCCCCTTAAATTTTCTTTGGGGTTAAAGTCAGGTGATTATGCAGGCTGATCAAGATGTAAAGAATTGTGAGTTTTCATTAAGCCAGTCACGTTTTCGACGAATAACTTTTGATCTAATGATCGGATCTTCACGTTCTAAAACTCAATCTTAATGGATCGAGGGGAGGGGGACTACAAATATGCTAATTATGTAGAGCAAACGATATTTTAAGCTACAAAATCAAGCACAAAAACGTACTTTCTCAGAATAATCATACCTTTTTTATCAACGGATTCGGATTTCTGTCCCCCAAAATATAAGGGTTAGCCGCAATCTTGGAAATATGGTCCCAATAGTTTGGTCAGGAGAGCTGTCCAATATTTTGACACCTTAATGATAATTTTACATATTGCGTATTTTGCCATATCTCGAGAATTTTTTCTACTATTATTAAATTAAAACATTTGAACAAACACATTAAAACATTTTTCTACTATTATTAAATAAAATAACAAAAATAATAAGTACTTACTAAAAGTTACTTTTTGCGTAGAATTATCGTTGGACTGACGAATTTTATAATTGCAAGCAAAAATTTTTCAAATTGCTTAAAGATTCTCGAGATATGGCGAAATATAAAGAAAAAACATTAGTAGGTCCAAATTTAAGACTGCTCTCCTGATCAAACGATAGGGACCATAATTCCCAGATTGCGGCTACCCATATACTTTAGGGGTCAAAAATCTGTATCCGTTGAAAAAAGAGTATGTTTATTCAGAAAAATCACGTTTTTGTGCCTGATTTCGTAACTTAAAATATTGTCTGCATTAATTAATTGGTATATTTGAGGTAACTTTCTCGAACAATTAAGATAGAGTCCTAGAACGTGAAGATCCGATTATTAGATCAAATGTTATTCAAGGTAATCAGACTTTTTATTTTATTTATTTATTTTTTTGTTTACTGTACAATTTTTAACCAGCATTTTATAAAATATATAATCGATATAAAAAGTACTTAATTAATAATTATGCTTTTGTTAACCAAAATTTTTAGGTGTAATATTTTGCATCTAATAATTATGCTTTTATTAATATTTATTTTTTGATGCACTACTTAACTCCTACTTTCTCTTCATTGGTCCATAGGGTCCCATTGGTAAAGTAGTGCATTTCTGTCCCCCTCTCTAATCGCCCTGACGGCCTGATAATCTACTCTTCTAGGTTTAATGCATCCTCTAGAAATTTCTTTTTTAAAAAATCAGTATCGCTTACATTTAATTTGATGTTTCGATGAATATTTTTTTTAATCCAAGTGTTTAATAATTGGAATTTCTACAATTAATTTCAACTAGAATATTTAATAAAGAATGATACGTTTAAAAAAATAAGATTAAACTTTGCAAGTACGTTTGATGTATAGTCCAATTTCATGAATACTAAATTCGCAATATTTTAAAACTGACTTATCTGTATAAAATAGATACGCATCGAAACCTTCATAAATAGAAAGAATGTTTGGAAAACCGTAACTATTTTTCATACATTTTTCTCTCTACTACCTCTAAGTGCATCATATATTTATAATACTATTCTTTCTCAATGTTCACAAATAACGCTTGAGATATTCATTATTTTTACTCGTATTCCTCGTAAAAAATATTTTCAAGAAAAAAAATTAATGGAAAATTTAATGAAATGGAAAATGGATTTGGACCTTAAACTATAACAAAACATAAAATATATCTCAGTAGGAAAAATTCGCTTTTTTAATGCAATATAATTTTTTATCTGTGAAAACCTTTTTTTTTTTACATCGTTAAGGTTTTGAAATTCGTTTTAAAAAAATTATAATATGTCTCAGAACCTTTTTATTTGCATTTAACTTAAAAAAATATATATATATATAAATAAAAATAAATAAAATATCAAAATGACCTTTTATCTGCTTACTTACATTTACATCTGCGATAAAAATTTTCTGCATATACAATTTGGTATACATATATATATTTTTAAGAAAATACAAAAAGCTTCATTTACAATGAAATTGTTTTACCGACAATATTGTGTTTCACAGATTAACACCACGAGTTAAGAACGGTTTATTTCCATGAAAACCGATTTAGAGAAAAAAAAACGAATTTGCACGCAGAAAGAAAGTTTTTTTTTACGGTACGGTCTGTCTTCACCGTGTAATAACTCTCGGGGAGAACCGATTTTACATTTTATTGATTTATTAAAACTTAGTAATTCTCAAAATGCAACACATCCACCAATCGTTAATTTTGTGAAAATTGGATCTCTGTGAACAAATCTTCCCTCTCTGTGAACAAAATACAACTAGTTGTTTGCTGTTTAATTATATGTAACACTTTATTTTAGGCTTGAAATAAATTTAAATTAGAAAGGTATTCATTCTTAATTCTAAATATGTATGAATTATGCTGCAAGGTATCATTTAAGTACTTTATTTAGTTCAGCCTGTTAAAATGATGTGAACTTAAGTGTTGTGGGCACAGCATGGTTTCACTATCAGGCCAATTAAAATTAATTTAGAATCCATTTCATTCATAACTTCTCGAACTTATTTCCTTAAGATTTCCAGTTAATCAAGATTCATATGCTTAATTCAAGCTCATTTTTCTAGTTTGGTACTGATGATTATGGGTTTGATCCTAGCCTAAGTCATGGACATATTTTACTTTTAAATGAAAGGTGCTGTCGCTGCTTGTTGCAGGTGATTTCCATACAAGTGCTTTGCTGGGGCCTCTCTGGCATAGTAGTCTCTCCTTTCTGCCAAACGTTCTGTTGCGTGGAGGTTGCGGGCCGCCTTAACCCTGAATGTATCTATGTGATGTCTATCTTTTATTTATGTTATCGGTTCTTCAATTTGACCAAGACTAATAAGGCATCTTTGTAGTGAGCACACATATGTATGTGTAATAAATAAATAAAAATAACGAATGCTTAGTTGAAGTAATATCAACTTCAGTTATGTATTCATGGATCTCGCTAGCAGGAATGTGGAGATTACTAGTGAGCACTTATCCTAACATCTAATTATTATCAAACATTTGTTGACATTCTGTTTTTTTTTCTAAAATATTTTAACAAGTGAAGAGACAAGCAATATTTTGAATATAAAAATTGCAAAAATTGGGAAATAAAGACTGCAGATAATGATGGAGAGTAGGTTCATACTCCAATTCAATAAAAAATGCATTGGTGCTTCTAAGCGAATAACGTGTAAGCACTTCATTAAAGTATCAGAAACTTTTTTTAGAATAGCATCCGTGCTTGATTTTGAAAACTTAAGCACTTAAAACCACTTAATTTAAAAAAAAAAAAATTGGGACGTGGAGGTAGCGGGTTCGAATCCCGCTGTTACACTGAATGTATCTTCTTGCTATCATTATCTGTATTGTGCTATCTGTTCTGTTTGACAAAGGTTTATAAGCTTAAATTTAGCACACATGCCCGCCAATGCATGTAATTCCAATAAACCAATAAAAAGATTTGTTGTAATTTTAGTTCATTTAGGTCGCACTGGAGTTGCACAATGGGCTATTGGCGACGGTTTGGGAAATATCCCTGAGGATGATCCGAATATATGCCATCACAATTTTGATTCTCTGCAGACGGGATGGCACTTTCGATTCGGTAGCACGACGACCTGCACGTGAAGTCGAACACCTTACGGTAGAACAGTTTAACGAGGACCAATACCGCACACCCTCGGTCCCCACGCAGACTGATCCAAGTGGTCACCCACCCAAACGCTGACCACAGCCAGTGATGCTCTGCTGGGAACCGTGTCTTAACGATCAGTCTACTGCGGGGCACACATAAAAAGAATTTCTCAGACAACTAGCACTTATAATTACTCAATTAGCACTTTTGAACTCTTAATTATGACTTATAATCAGTTAATTATGGACTTATTCAAATTAAAACATTTATAATCACTTAAAAACAATTTCAAGAGATTTTTTTGTTTGATTTAATTGTTAATACGCATACGTGCTTTAATCACAGTGTTATGCGTTGATATTTTATTTGTTTGCTTATTGAACTCCTTCAATATTTTTGAGTTGCGAACCTAAGAGTTTCTATTCGTAATTTCTTGTCTACATTGGTTCTACTTCAACTAAGCACTAGTATGTTCTTTATATGACTTCAGTTCTAAGGATTTTCAATGTACACAGGCTCGAACCAGTGACCTTCTCTCTCACATTCTGGGATCTTTGTCTCTCGGCCGCATTGGTTTCTCACGTTGTCTTGGATCTCACTAGGAGTGATTGTTTCTAACTTTAGTTTTAACTTTTTACTCATGGCTGCGTAGTATGTTGTATTTTCCACGGAAATAATGGCTTACCTGAATCGAGTATGTTCTGCTTTTTGCAACGTTTATTTTTACTTTCGTGATTGGGTTTCAAATACACTACATCTCGCATTGATGGCCTCCTCCGAAGAAAATGAATGCAGCACAGCAAATGATGAGCAAAGTAATGCTGATGGTACGCCAAGCGATGTCGCGTCATGTTCTAGAAAAAGTTCGGAAGATTCAGATAAAACTTTAGATGCCTCAC